ACCTTTTTTCCGTCAAGTACCCCCCGAGTCACGAAACAATCAACGCTAACCCCCGGTAATCAGACACCGAACAAAGTTGTGATATATATATATTGAATAACGATTTGTTGCAACACCAATTTTTTGACCATATGTAACTAAATTAAATCGTCTTGTTGATATTATTGTCCTTGTCGTCTGCCTAACTAATGAATTTATAAATCTCTCCCAATTTTCAATAAGCATAATCACTTTTCCAATGCTTGCAGCACGCTGTCTTTAGAGATTTCACAGTTTGAACGCAAAGACTTGAATTTCACATTGTTGCATCACAATCACAACAATGCAAGATCAGGGAAAATCTACATTTCAATTGGTTTCTAGTTTCAAGGGGCACGCGTTTTCCCATGGTAGTAATAAAGGATATTAAAAAACAGCAACATACAAAAACTCGACTGTCATCCAAGTACCCCTGGAAATCTTCTCGTGAACCCCTGGGGGGTTCGCGAACCCCAGGTTGAGAACTCCTGCTCTAGATCAAAGGTGGGCAGGATTTTTGGACCAGAGACAAAAATTTTGCCGTCCTAGACTGGCGGGCCATGTAAGTGTAAGGTAAAAAGTTACGATTCATGAACAATATTCACAGTGTTACAAAAGCAAAGTGGAAAATAATAAGCCTCGTGCCAAAACTAAATTTAATCGCAATCACAACAAATTCATTGAACTATTCTTCAGCTTGAACATCAAAGTCTGGTTGTAGCAGCACCAGGCGGGCCAGATCGAATTACTCAACGGGCCGGATTTGGCCCGCGGGCCGTAGTTCGCCCATGTCTAGGCTTACCATACGTCCCGCTTTTCAGCGTTTTGTCCCGCCGTCCCGATAAGTCAGCCAAAAGTCCCGCTTTTCCAGCTTGATACACAAACATGTTCTCGTTACTGTTGTTTCTGTGTAGCGCAGCGCTAGCCTACTTACTGAAGGTGAATGCGTTCGTTTCCCGCTGATTCCCATTGATGGCAGACGTATCGCGTGTAAAACCAATACTAATTAGTCTAAATTCGAAATATTTGTACTGGTATCGTTAACGTCAATTCCTTCCTATTTTTCGAACTGAACCCGATATTTGGACAGAGAATATGCGCGTGAAATTTCGATAACAATATGGTCAATAAAGACAGCCGAGACAGCTTTGAATGTAGGCCGATGTAGTAAAATCGGAAAATTTGAGGCGTCCCGATTTGAAGTTACAAAAATATGGTAACCCTACCCATGTCAGCTCTAGACGGTATTGGCGTAACCCTGGTTGAAAACCACGGGTCGACATAGACAATATTCACCGAGGAAATGTATTTTCTGGTTCCATTACATTTGAACCCACGTACATTTGAACCCATGACAATTGCACCTGCATACTATTGCACCTATGGATTTTTTGTTTGTTTCACGGATAGTTAAACCCATACTAACCCTAACCCATGGGTTTCAGCACCCGCATATTGATTGAACCCGCGGATATATACATGGGTTCAAATGTACGTGGGTTCAAATGTACGGTCACCGTATTTTCTAACCCAAGGTTTCCCAACCTGGGGTACGCGGACCCCTGGCGGTTCGTGATGACTGCACAGGAGGTTCGTAACGATATAAAAATAGTCTCAAACATACACAAACGTACCATAATCTTATCGAATCGCCGTTAGCCTATCAGTATTTATCGTTTGTATGTATCAATTAAAACTTTCATGAGTTTTATTTCGTCAAAGGAAACATTATCCTTCCTCGTTGATTAGGCACAAAAATTGATAGGACATAGTATGGAGGCCGTCAAAAATAAGATTCACAAACAATGGTGTGCGACCCAAAAAGTTTGGAAAATCCTGTCAAACTTATCCTAACGTAATGTTAAATAAACACAATTGATAGAACAGATCAAAAATGTATCAATGGGGGAAATACCGGGATAGCAATCAATTTATAGTAAAATAAAACAATCACTTGTATAAGAAATTAAATTTCAATCGCAGTACGTAAAAATGTCATGTTAACTTCACGTTTTTTCTAGCAGTAATATCCTCTGCGTAGGCATAAGTATTAGATAGATTATTGCATTGTAAAAAATACGCACATAATTAACATGAATTTGTAAATAATTGAGTATCTAATTTGAAAGAGAATTGGAAAGGGATAAAGCTATTCCTACTTTGGTGTATTAAAGTTAAGGTGTTGTATTTGAGATCTGTGATAAAGTTACTTTCATGAATATAAATAGACTATAATTACATAAAAATTTAGTTAAACTTGCGAGTTTTTTCGATAGGATAATTTAATTGTGAATTGCGGAAATGCTTTCTGGTGCGTAATAGGCAAAGTCATTTTAAACGTAGTGTTCGTGTTTATTTGGTTGACAGACTGTCAGGAGTTTTTTTGTGTTGTACTTTGGCTTGCGAATTACCATACGTCCCGTTTAAGCAGGGCAGTCACGATTTCAGCAAGTTGTGTCGCCGTCCCGGCAGACCTCAATGTCCCGGTTACTTCACTAGTTTAAATAGAGAGAGAGAGAGAGAGAGAAATTGTTGTGTCATAGTTATGATATGATGTATTAAACATACGTTGATTTAACACTTGACTGTATTGTCGTTGAATCACCAATATGTCGAAAACAAGATGCTAGTATTGTACATATCGCCGTTGTGCTCTTTGTCTTTGGTATTGTACTAGAGTTTTATTTGTATATTTCATGTCTGTTGTAATACTATAACACAGCAGTCCTAAACTGCAGTTATACTTGTTGGAGTGCATGTCGCACATCTGTGTCTTAGGTCAGTAAGGTCTTGAACATGTATCCCGTCTCTTTTATACCGTTTAATTTATTATGAAAATATGTTACATTTTTGAGGCAAATAAACATGCATACATACATAGTTTTCTGACGAGATTTGAAGATTTTAATTACCTGGCAAAGACCAATATAGGATATTTTAATAAGATTTACAGCTAATTATAATGTAATCGACCCACAATGGTATGAAACGAGTTTCAGATACATGGTAAGCCTAGTTATACTCACAAGAGGAAAGATGATAAAACAAGATAGGATTTGGATACTTATCAGCGGAAAAGGAAAGTTGATAAGACGCCCCAATCATAATGCTGATTACGGCATTTGAGTCGGTTACTAGTCCAAGACTACTAGGCGCTTCAGAAGTGTGTGTACCAATAGGGAGGTAACTAATTTTGTTCGCCTAATTTACATCAAGTTGTGTAAAGCGAAAGAAGCCTAACAGTAACCGAACTTTTAATAGAACTAAAATAAGGAAAATCGGAATAAAATTATGGCCTGACACTAACCTGGTACATATGCTACGGGAGTGCCCTATCTGAGAGTATACAAGTTCGCTAGCGAGGTCCCGAGCCCTTATCTAAGGTTGGATAGGTTACTGATAGCATAGTTGCAACTGACGCTTTAAATAAGTTTACAGCGGCATCTGAGAGAGTAAATATGACAGATGGCTTAATTACATACAGTACTTGATCACTGTATCTTGTCTAGGGCCGGGCATTTTCGAATATCCAATGATTTCAGAATCAAATCTCAACTACTTAAGAAGATATGTAGTTGTATTGACTGTTTTATTGTAATGAGTCCTTCAGGCACATAAATGAGTAAAAACACGTATTACTGGAACAGTTAGACGAGTGTTCACACGCATTAGGAAACACGTTTCATCGATAACTCACTCTGAAGAAAAGAGTCATATGTTACAATTGCATTTTAAAAAGGACAATAAATGATTGACAAAAAACAAGATGGTGGCGATTCGAAATTCCCGTCTTAACTGATTCGAATAATTTACTATACGATTTGAAATGCTTAGCCTTAATTAATCTCGTCCAGCTGTTAGTCAAGGCTAGTATAAAGGACGTGCAACTTTTTCTGCTGCCCGGCGCGAGTTTCTGATAGTGACGCTACCTATATCTAACTTAAAAAAGAATTTGGGGGATAAACAAATTTTAGATGTTGTTGAACATGAGAATGAATAAATTAAAGATCAAGTAAGAGTGGAATATTTGTATTTTTATTAAATAAATGAACAAACTAAGTAACAATTTCACCCCTACAACGCGCTGCCCGGGGTGACTGCTCCTATGGGCATACCATAGACAAGGTCTTCCAAACAAAACGTTCAAAATGCCGGGTCTGGTTTTCCCAGAAATTATATATCGGCAATCACACATCCTCTGTCGGCTAGTGACTACTCGCTAATCAAGATAGCGCTATTCGCATAATCGGTTCCCGTACATTTGAACCCGCGACAATTGCATCTGCATATATTGCATCTATGGAATTTTTTTTTTGTTTCACGGATAGTTAAACCCATACTAACCCTAACCCATGGGTTTTAGCACCCGCATATAGATTGAACCCGCGGATATACACATGGATTCAAATGTACGGTCACCGCATAATCAAGATAGCGCTATTCGCATTGTTTATCAAATTAGGTAGCCAATGCCGAGCCTTACACAAAGTAGATCGTTCTTCGACAGCGTTCGCTCGTACAGTGCGTTAATCGAGGCAAAAACCATCGCGTGGAAATACTTACAAATACTTTAAAACAAGAGGGTTAAGTCGGTTGTTTTCGGTTTTCTTTTTATTATGTTAATTGGCGCTATTAAATCAAAAAATTTATATAGAAAAAAATTAACTGCCATTGACGGCGCAGCAGAAGTACGAGTTAAATTATTTTCATTTCGAAATTATTTTATTGAAATAATAAATGGCCTTCAATAAAAAAAAATACCCCTTCTAACAATTTTAAACATTCATATCTTTTGACAGAATTTGTTAAATTGGTTGCACTCGGAATAAACTCTTAGTAATTGAGCTACAGTTGTAGCTTAACCCCAATCTTTTTAAAACTTCGTTGATAGGTTTTACTATATCAATTCCTGCCGATCCTTATAAACATCGAAAAATTACTATTTTTACCAATTTTAATTCTTTGTATCTTTGGGCAGAATTTGTTAAATTAGTTACACTCGGAAAAATGAAGTGTTTGTACTTACTTATCTAACTTCAAAGCAATTTCAGCATGATTCTCGTTAAGGGAATATTATTTGCTGTCATAATGGTGACTTGGATGAAGGCAAATACGCAAGAGTGTAAGTATATTCTGTGCATCGTAACTTTTTATGATTATGATTTACTGGTTACGCACAATATGCTATACCTATGCGCAGGGTGGATAGGATAGAAATCTCATATTAATCCCGGAGAAGATAAAAGTCGATAAAGAGGCCAATCATCTGATCATGTCAGGTATAGTAATAGTCAGTCAACTGGTAGTGTGTTTCAGATGCATGGACTGCACAGTGGAGAAAGCAGTAACCGGCCAGCGGTTACGTGAACCACCCTACCGCGGCGAGAAGCCCAGCAATCCTCTCGCACATAATTATCCCCAACGACATTTGGTACTCCCGTAATATGTGTACCAGGTTAGGCCATAATTTTATTACGATTTTCGGACCTCCTGAAGTATGCGCATCAAGATGGCGCACAACCTGAACTCAGGTTGTGTACCAGGTTAGGGTTCAGGTTGTGCGACATCTTGGTGCACATACTTCAGGGGTACCGGAATTTCCTTATTTTAGTTCTATTACGAGTTCGGGGACTGTCTGTGTTAGCCAAGTGAATATATCCCCTGCCCATAAGCTTCCAACCCTTTACACAATCTAATGTAAAGTAGGCAAAAAAATTAGTTACCTTTCTATTGGTAAACATACTTCTGGAGCGCCCGGAATCCAAACATGCGATGCCACGCAGGCTAATCGGGAGGGATAAGCTTGTATCATAATAGAAAAATGCTTTCCTCTAAATTCTCTGGCCTCCCAAGAACGCCTTTTCCACCGTAAATTGCGGGTACTGCCGAAGTATGTGAGCCAAGATGGCGGACACCGGGACGTAGTATGTGTACCTGGTTAGGGTTAGGCCATAATTTCAGGTACAAGCACTACGGGAGATACTTGGCTAGTCCCCGAACTCGTAATAGAACTAAAATAAGAAAGATTATGACCTAACCCTAACCTGGTACACATACTACGTTCCGGTGTCCGCCATATTGGTTCACATACTTCGGGAGTACCAATTTTTGTTATTCAATCGCTACTCTTGTCAAATCACTGGCATTGTTAAAACGTCCTTAAATTTTTCCAGGTTCTTCGCCAAATGAGCAACCACCAATTGATGACCACTGTGAGCCAGGTGACCCGAACTGCGGGGAATTCATCATTGAAGCAGTAAGTATATATATACACATGACCCACAAGAGCCACTACCGGTACTGATATTATAAATAAGATGCTGGTATAATCCAATTGTTACGAATACACACGTGTTTAAACTGTGATTTTGACGTAACAGTTGGGATCGTAACAATGAAGTGGTAAAATATTTCACCGAAGTCCGGTGGGCCATACTGAATCGTTACGCGGGCAGTAATTGGCCCGCGGATCTTGGTTTGGGCGCCACTGTGTTAAGTGTTAAAAATACTTTCACCCCCGCAACACTGATTACCCTGCATGGGTTCGCATTTTCGAATCACATTCGGAAATAGTTATGTGCGAGAGGATTTACTCCTCAAAAAACACCAAAAATGAGCGCTTGTTTACTATCAGTTAGCTTTTTAAAATTGTGACTTGGGTTTACTTTAGCAAAATAAATGCTACTAAGTTTTCACGCATTGATGCTTTCCACATATACAATTACTATTTAGCAACATTTATACGAAAATAAAATAAGCGACCCAGGTAAATTTGCAGCCTACCCAGTTGCGGAAAACACTGCTATGTGGTTGCCAGTTTTTAAAATTGTGGCTTGGGTTTACTTTAGCAAAATAAACACGTGTGTATTGAACTACACTTCGATACGAAATATATATATAATATAGATATATAAAATAAGCGACACAAAATATGAAGACGACCCAGTTGCGGGAAATACTAACATATGGTAAAATAGCAGAACAACACGCACTGAAGGCCCTTGGTTGTTTTGAATAGATTTACATTATCATTAATCTATTTTCTTTTTTCGATTTCAGGCCGATCTCGAAAGTAAGTAATTTGATTTTGAATATTTGATAAAGAGTTTTTTTCTTGAATCCCCCTTTGAATGGTATCCTTGATAGAGGGCTATTGGGCTACACTAAACAGACAGTAGGTTAGGGATAGGGGTGTATATATGGGTACGTACAATTGCCATTTGAATGGCCTCCCCAACAGTGGGTCTGCCATATAGAAACATGCCTCCATAACGAGCTCCATTGGTAATTATACGGTAAATAAAGATAGATTCTGATTCAAACCGCCATCCGAACGGTCACATTCGTAGAACGCTGTTCGAGCTTCCATATAGACAGCAGGATAAGTATATATGATCTCAATCACCTTTTTACTGTTATTTCCGCAAAAGGCTGTTATGCTGTCACGTAGACTGTAATAAACAAGATATATGACCGAGTCGCCATTTCAATGACCTCTTTACATACGGCTATTTATCAGGCTGCCATATAGAGTCTATAGGGGTGTGCAACTTGCTGCCCGTGGGCCAAATGCGACCCACAAAGTATAACTGTGCGGCCCCCAGAAAAGTGCCAATTTTGAATGATGTGCCTCTAAGTCCAATATATTATCTATGTTTATTATCTATGACGTTGCAATGCCTTAACAGCTCGTTTGTGCGAAGCCAACAACGCATGTCATGAGATCAATAACCAACTACTAGTAAGCCCATGTTAAATAAAGTTGTGGCCCGCGGTTTCACCGAGTTATTTGCAACTGACTCGTCTGTATTAAAGGTTGCACACCCCTGATAAAGACAAGAGCATAGATACATGATTTAATAGTAATACGAATTGTGAGTTTATATAAATTTAATTGTGTGATAAATGAGAGCTACAAGCGCAATAGGAACTATCAATAAACAGGGATGGTAGTCTTATTCCTGCTACAGCATCATTTCATTCATACGGATACACTATATCAGGGCTGTGCAACGTTTAATACAGGAGGGTCAGATACAAATAACTGAGTGAAACCGCGGGCCGCTTTCTAGTATTTGCAGGCACAAAAGTTTTGGTTATCGATCTTATGACATGAGTTGTTCCCTTTGTACAAGCTAACTATTAGGGCATTGTAACGTCATAGGCATAGATATCAAATTGGTCTCAGGTATAGGCTTTGCAACGTGAAGGGATCGGAATTACTCACACGTACCAGATTAAGTCAGTCAGTCAGTAGTTTATTTTATCACATACCAAAAGTACACAGTAGACAAAAATAAATACGAATCACATATAAGACAATACTCTCAGTGTGAAGGGAGGCATTAAACTAAAGGGAGGATTAAACTAAATTAAAAACTCGTTTCGGGCCGCACACCATTCAAAATTGGCACTTCTCCAAAGGTTGCACGCACAATTTTGCCCTTGTTGGGCGCATTTCGCCCGCGGGGCGCATATTGCACAACTCTGCACTGACACAGAGGCATTGAAGAAGAATTGGGAGTGTCGCGTAACTTCTACGAATAGTCTTTTATTAATATTGTCAAATGTCTCTATCCGAAATCCAAAATGATGGTAAATATGTCAAGAACTATACGCAAAGTTTATTATAAAAATCCTGAAAACAAAAAGGTATTCGTGATTGCATCGTTAAACTATTTCCTGCTTACGTCATACGTCATTCCAAATCACGTGAATTTCCAAAAAACGTCACAGAACTCCCGTATTTCCTCATTACACCCACGACCGTGTCTATACTTTAAAAGGGGTTATTTTTAGCGCCCTTTCATACCTAGATCATGAACAAGATGTTAATAAGACAAAAAGTCGTAGGGGTCTCTTTGTTAGTTTGGCTCCCGTTTGTATAAAGCAGGAGTGTGCAACCTTTTTCACTGGCGGGCCAAATTCAAGTAACTGAGTAAAGACGCGTGCCGCACCTTTATTTAATATAGACATTCTAGTACAACGGTGCACAACCTGCGGCCGTACGGCCGCATGCGGCCGTCGCAAAAAAAAAATGCGGCCGTCCACATACAAAATCCTATGAGAAAAAAGTTCAAGATATAGGATTTGGCGGCTATGCTGGCGTATATTGAAGCAAAACAGAAGCACTGCAAAAAAGTCAGACGACACGATGCGTTACAATCTAGATGGTGTATTTGCTGCCAGTTACCTCACTTTGCAAGTTTATCTGCCCACATGCAAGACCAAAGGAGTCATTAAATTTCTACAATTCTTTGCAAACTTTTATTGAATAAATTCATAAAAATATTTGACATTTTATTATACTTTTGGGGAAAAGAAAAAGGGGGCGACCGCCCTCCCCGACTTTCGATTTTTTTCAAAATTGTGCAACCATTATCTAACTTGCAGAACATATCTGCTCAAGAATAGGTCCACCGAAAAAAAAATCCTTTTAAAATGCGAATATTATACTTCCAAGTAGTCCTACATACTTCATAATTGGGCAGAGTGCACCTCGCACGGGTCAAATACGCGGTTATGACGTCATTAAGCAAAAAAATTTTGCCCGACTTCGGCGCGCTATTAACCTCCTGGCGGCCGTATTGTATAAAAATAAATGCAATGTGGCCGCCAATAGCAAATAGGTTGTGCACCCCTGTTCTAGTAGATACAAGCACAAAAATTGTTTATTTTTGCTAGTCACCCTACGTCATTATTAGGGTTTCTTGCAGAAATAGTGAGTTAAACGTATAAACTTCTAAAGAACTGCCATTTGAATTTATCGCCACACCGACTTTAATCCAATTCAGTGAGTGAGAAACACGTTTTTGTAATATATATCGTATATTTTGCATCAATGTTTTGGTAATACGTCAGTGGCACTCAGGTACTGGTATAGGCTTCGTGGTGCAGATAGATTGGAATTGCTCGCACGCACCAGATTACCTAAACTAAAAGCTCGTTTCGCGGGCACACCATTCAAAATTGTTATTTCTCCGCGAGCCGCACAAATTTTTCTTGCGGGCCGCATTTGGCCCGCGGGCCTCAATTCGCACATTCCTGGTATAAAGTGTTATCACACACTCACTCTACACATGGCATTAAACCGAGTTTCTTAAAATGACACACATAGGGACCACGAAGCAGATATTTGGCGCCACAAGCGAAAGTTCACTAGATACCATTCGCGATAATCACATCAATTTCCAGCTTACTTAATACGTCACTCCAAATCACGTGAATTTCCAAAAACGTCACAGGTTCCGGTATTTCCCTATTACATACCCGACCTGGCATACACGAGATTTTTAGGTGTGTTTAGTAAGTGTGATTCACTTTTTTAGTGTGACGTGTCGTTTTTATAAAGCATTTTCCGACCCTACTGCAAACTTGCCATTAAACCAGACATGGGCAAATTAAGGCCCGCGGGCCATATCCGGCCCGCTAGGTAATTCAATCTGACCCGCCTGATGCTGCCACAACCAAACTGAAACCAAATTTGGATGTTTTAGTTAAAAATAGTTCAAGGAATTTGATGAGATTATGGTTAAATTTAGTTTTGGCACGAGGCTTATTGTTTTCCACTGTTGCTTTTGTAACACTGTTAACATTGTTCATAAAATGTAATTGTAACGTTATACTTACCTGGCCCGCCAGGCTAAGTTGGGCAAAATTTTTGGCCAAAAACCGTGCCCCCCCCCCCTGCATGGGAACAGGATTTTTAAAATGCGCGCCTTGGCCAGTCTAGGGTACTGCAGTGCTATTATCTGAGGTCACTAGCGAATATCCTCACGACTCACGAGGATTACAATAATTTAAATATATTTGAATTTGTGATTATAACGTTAAAATTATTTTCTGGAACTAAAAATGAAATTCCAAAAACGTCAAATAGTTTTTTTTTATTACGTACTCGACCTCGTCTACGTCAGATGTTTCAGTGTATTTCGAGTCTGTTTTTTACTTTTTTAGTGTGGCTTGTCCTGTTTAAAAAGCATTTATTTAACGCCCCAATTATGATCAAGTCTTTAGAAAAATTGGGCCATTTGCCTACGTGGGGAACGGCGGGGCAGTTATCTTCGACCACTTCATTAGGTATTATTCTTGATGACCATATTAATTTAAAATAAATATACCTAAATTTGTTGTTATAGCGTTAACTTTTCTGCTTGCGTCAAACGTCATTCCAAATCACTTGTGGATGAAAATAACGTTTCCGAAACGTCACAGAATCCCCATATTCCTGTATTACACCTGGTCTATAAGCTATATAACATTTTTTGTTCTTGCATTCTCTCATAAATAGACTATAAACATGTCGTTACTAAGAAAAAGCAGCGTCTGGGTTAACTTTTTAGAGGGGCTTGCCCTTTAGTGGTGTTTTCAGACATATCATGCGGCACTGAAAATTACGTTACCCAAAACGCCACTGAATTCCCATATTTCCTTATTACCTCGAACTGGCATACATAGAATATTTAGTCTATTCGGTGTGTATGTTTTACTTTTTTAGTGTGACGTGTGCTTTTTTACAGGGCATTTTCACCCCCTCACTCCAAACCAAGTCTTTAGAAAAAGGGGGCTATTTACCCACGTAGGGGGCCGAGGAGCAGTTCTCTGGGGCCACAAACGGATGGCCTTCGCCTGCTCAATCCCCCAAGTCTCTGTTAGACACACTTTAACGATGTAAAGTCTTTATTGCCGAAAAGATATGATCCGAATAGAACAATTGAAACAGTGAATAGTTATATTATATAGAAAATAAGCATGTACGGAAATGTCCTAATCAAGTGTGGTACAAAGATGAAGTCTATTAAAACTGATTCGTCATTGTGATATGGCCTGGGGTGATTTAACTTAATTATGTCCAGTTACAGAACTTGTTTTGGATTTCTATAATTTTAGGAAATTCTGAATTATCTGGTTTTACGACGATTCATATTATTACATATAAAATATAACTAAAATAACAAGGTTATCCCTATAATACCATTCACTATGACTCATTAATTTAAAGTAAATAGACTCAAATTGCAGATTCTTTCATTCTTGCGTCATGCACCATTTTAAATTGCGTACCGATATAAACGAGAATATCGGTTAGAGACCGAAGATTTATCGATCGAAAGTTAGGGGATCCCCAAAACAGCGCTCTTACTCCATAGTGACACCTTGTGTCCCATTACCAATTAATTAATAACTCGCTAATTATACTACATAATTCATCCAAAATCAATAGGCTTCTGGTTCGACATATGATGAATGCACATGCATGGAGCAGATTCAATTTCGCTTTCGTGAGATATCGCGTGCATCTAACAGACAGACAAACAGACGAGAATATCGGTTGGAAACCGAAGACTTATCGATCGATAGTTAGGGGATCCCCCAAAACAGAAACTGCAGTTTCGATTTATCCGCTCTTGTAACTTGCGCACTGCGCATCGCACACACACACTCGGCGGGTTTCAAAATTCTCTCGCTTTACAAAAATCTAGATCACTATAGCAATAATTGATTGATAACTCGCTAATTATACGACATAATTTGCCCAAAATCAATAGGCTTCTGGTCCGAGATGAGATGAATGCACATGCAAAATCTGGAGCAGATTCAATCTCGCTTTCGTGAGATATCGCGTGCATCTAACAGACACACACACAGACAGACAGACAGACATACATACAGACAAATACCTATCAATATACTTACCGATCTTAAGATCGATAAGTAACAAATACCTATCAACATACTTACCGATTAAAATCGATAAGTAACAAGTCGTTAGTAAGATAGGCAAAAGGTAGTAGGAGTTTTCTTTTTTAGTTTGGCTCGTGGGTAGAACCGAAGGTCGCCACCGGGTACCATTCGCGATAAATACTTATAAAATAATTTGAGAGTGATTTGTGATCATAACGTTAATCTTTCCGGCATTCCAGATCACGTGCCGCTAACATAAAGTGGCAAATCAAAAGTCGCGAGTGAGCGTCGTATTACGTCATTATACAAAAAAAAATACCCCCCCTCCCTCCCGAGAAAATATTTCTTAGAATTGCTACGCTTTTGTCTATTGACATTACAGGTTTATCGGAGATCAGTTTCCCTTATTTCCGAGTCAGTGCGTGTGGCTTTGACTGAAATAATTTTCTTATATTTAATAAACAATTCTACTCTTCACGTTTCACGTCCGGCGCCAGATTTTCAGACGAAACACTGAACGTTATTTTTATTTCAGATGGATTCGAAAATAAACCTGAACTGCTGGAATTCATAAGAAAGCAGCTTGACCGCGAAAGCGAAATTACGATCGAGAGCACTGCGATGCCTACAAATAACGAAAAACAGACACAGACCACTGAAAGCCCTTCTAAATGGTCTGTTCCTGGTAAGAAAGCTAGACATTATGCAGTAGTATATTGACACGAAGTACAGGTCTACACTCGAAAAAGAGAGAAGCCATATATTTCTTTCTTTCTTTCATGAAAATAGGAAAATATCTTGACTAGTGTTCAGTTCTAAGTTTCACCGCTGCAAGGGGCGAAGTTTTTAATTTTGGTGAAGTCATCGCATACAAGAAACGAATACCTTATCGCCCACAGAAGTTTAAAAAAATCGCTCTAGCGAAAAATATAATCTCTACCCACTGAAATTTTAAAGCGATTGGCCCAGTAGTTAATGAGGAAGGCTTTTTTTTCACAACGACAAGAAAATAAATACTAACAACAACAACATAATAATAATAACAATACACAATATATATTCTGTGTCCAATAAGCTTGGTAACAACTCGCGATTAGGGCAAGGCATTTCGAATCGAATAGTAAATTATTCGAGAATATCGAATCGCCACCATCTTGTTTTTGTTTTTCCGCCCGCAGGTCTAGGTGAATTCCTCATTTTTTTATTCATATCAAATTGTTAAAATACAATTTGAAAATATATGACTCTTTTCTTTTGGGTGAGTTATTGATAAAACATGTTTCTTATCGTGTGTTAACACTCAGCGAACTGTCTTAGTGATGGATTACGTCTTTTCACTAATTTATGTGTCTGAAGGACCCATTATATTGAAACAGTCAATATAACTACATACCATTCAAAAATTCTGGCGCTCCCGAAGTATGTGCACCAAGATGGCGCACAACCTGAACCCTAACCAGGTACACATACTATGTTCAGGTTGTGCGCCATCCTGGTGCACATACTTCTGGAGCTCAAAAATTTGAGATTTGAAAAAATATTCGATTCGATCCTGAAATCATCAAATATTCGAAAATTACCACGGCACGCCGATACGGGTTGTTACAATTACAATCTTAACAAGAGAGCTATGCTCAAATCTATGGACACGAAGCGTCACATAATTTTGATGACGTCATAGCAACAACAAAAAAACGAACTCGGATGACGTCATGGCCCACAAACAAACGAATCCCATGCAGCTCACTGGAATATTTAAAATAAATAAAAGTGATAGCCTTCTAGCGCAAAATTTAATCTTTAAGCACTGACAATTTCAGAGCAATTGGTCCAGTAGTCAAAGAGAAAAGCGACAAAGAACAACAACAACAACAACATAATACGAAAGCTATCCAAAGGTCTATTTAAGTGTCCAGTAACAAAACGATGTACATTTTGTGTCTAATAAAATTCATTCATTTTGGTTTCAGATGCGTTCGGGACATGCAACGAGGACAGATGCGTGAATATGAACGAAAGTGCATTGTTTGGTCATATAACAGTGAAAGCGCACGGAGAAATAATATCGATGCCGATTTCAGATGAAAAGAATGTTACCGTTTATTGCGAATGTGAATCGGATAAGGAATATTATTACGTAAGTTGATGCTTATATTCAATCACTGTTTTTCGGTCATACACTGAGAAAATCTCCCGGAGAAAAAGAAAAAAAAAAGATAAATTTTAAGCTTATTTTCCTTTCTGTCGAAACGATATCGCGACATTTACAGTAAGACTCAAAACCCGTACGCTTTTTTTTTCATTTTACTATATTCGTGAGCGATTCACTGATAACTCAATGTTTTTGGGATCTCCAGAAGTATGTGTGTCAACATGGAGGTAACTAATTTTGTTCGCCTACTTTACATCAAGTTGTGTAAAGGAACTGAAACCTATGGGCAGGGGGTATATTCACTTGGCTAACACAGACAGTCCCCGAACTCGTAAAAAAACTAAAATAAGGAAAATCGGAATAAAATTATGACTTAATCCTACCTTGGTACACATTCTACGGGAGCACCCCGAAAAGGACAGTAAACAATGCAGAAAGATAAGATAATCAATCATCATTAATTTATCAACACAATATAACCTGTCCAAGGTTGTTGCCTTTGCGGGCCACAAAAAGTATTTTTGCATTGTTTGCGGGCCACAATAGTGTCAGCAATAGGTAAATAGGGCAATACAAAACAATAAAATAATTATGGCCTAACCCTATTTTTATAGGTGCTCTTGAAGTATGTTCCTTGTTTTTTTGCTTTGTTCAATAGTTCGGACGAGCACTGCTAATGAGTACGGGTACCGCAACCGTCGATTATCCTATATTCAACATTTTAAAAGTTATGCATTAGATTTATATAAATAGCTTCTACGTAATGGTATACATACATTTTCTGAAACGAGGGAACATGTTGTTAGTTGGTTCGCCACAAAAGAGAAGACGTTTTCACCATTTTAAATTCCATCACAGCAATTAGCTACAATATAAGTACTCCCGAAGTGTGTGAAGCAAGATGGCGGACACCGGAACATAGTATATGTACCATGTTAGGGTTAGGCCATAATTTTATTCCAATTTTCCTTCTTTTAGTTCTATTACGAGTTCGGGGACTAGCCAAGTGACTCATGTAGTATTTGTACCTGAAATTAAGGCTAAGAATCAGCTAATTGCTGTGATGAAATTTAAAATGGTGAGAACGTCTTCTCTTTTGTGGCGAACCAACTAACAAGATGTTCCTTCGTTTCAGAAAATGTATGTATATCATTACGTAGAAGCTATTTATAAAAATCTAATGCATTAATTTTAAAATGTTGAATATAGGATAATCGCCAGTTGCGGTACACGTATACCCCGCTAGATACCCCGCCCCATACTTATGGAGCGCCCAAAAGAGAACCCGTTCCTACAATTTTAAATCCCATCACAGCAATTAGCTCTAAAATAAGCATTATGCGACCGAATGCATTGGTTCTTAACCAGTGGGCCATAGCCCACTGATGTGCCACAGGTACATTTTCAGGTGGATAAAGTTTGATAAAGTTAGTTAAATTTGATGGTAGTAGTAGTAATGGTTGCTGCTGTTTTTTGTCGTGTTACAGGGTGGCAATTTTCATCTAATTAATATTATAGAGTAAAAGTGTCTATCTTCGCAGAAAGAATTCTATGTTTTTCTTGCAGTTTTACCCAAGCGTCATGTTTGTCGTTTCAAAAGTTATGTATTAGATTTATATAAATAGCTTATACGTAATGACATACATTTTCTGAAAAGAGGAAACATGTTGTTAGTGGGTTCGATACAAAAGAAAACGCGTTCTTACAATTTGAAATCCCATCACAGGAATTAGCTATAAAATGGGCGCAATACGCCCCAATTTTGGTACTCCCGTAGTGTGTGTACCAGGTTAGGGTTGGGCCATAATTTTATTCAGATTTTCCTTCTTTTAGTTTGGAGACTCCTGTGTTAGCCAAGTGAGTATACCCCCTGCCCATAGGTTTCAGTCCTTTTACACAACTTGATTTAGGCGAACGGGACATGCAACGGGACATGCAATGCGTACCTTGATTTGATGCCACTATGTGGCACTGCGTGTCCATATATTTGAGCATACCTATCTTGTTAAGGTTGTAATTGTGAAGTAGGCGAACAAAATAAGTTACCTCCATACTGGTACACATACTTCTGGGGCGCCCAATTTGAGCAAAATTTCAATAAAAACTGCCAAGTTGCTTTTAAAATCACAGGTAATTCAGAGACGCATTGATGGCAGTGTAGATTTTGATAGAGAATTTGAAGATTACGTAAGTGGTTTCGGAAACATGACTGGAAACTTCTGGATTGGTAAGCAAACTGCTGTGGCTGTTGCAAACAATTTTATTTACAAGGTGACCAACAAAAAATGGAATTTATAAACTTCTTTTCACTACCACGAAAAGGAAAAATTTATATTTTAACGCTCAAACATTTCTGTTTGTGTATGATTTGTACCCTGCACTTTCAGTAATTTAGGACGATTTGCACAAAAGTTATGTTTCATATAGATTCTATGCCCATTACGTTGCAATGCCCTAAAACAGCTATCTTATGCGAAGCAAATAACGCATCTCATAGGATCAACAACCAAACTTTTTGTGCATGCAACTGCTAGAAATCTTATGGTAAAAAAGATGCGGCCCGCGGATTCATCCAGTTATCAATATTTGGCCCGCCAGTAAGATGTCGCACAACCTGAACCCTAACCGGTACCCACATTATGTTCAGGTTGTGTGCCATCTTGGCGCACATACTTCTGGAGTTCGCGAAAATGCTATGTTCACTCTAGATTCTAGCTTGTGTCTCGAATGACCTGGATTTTATTTTTGGGGTCATCCTAAATAGAATACACAGTGCTAAACTACCAAGTGGTGTCGACTTTCATTGATCGTAGTTGAAAGTGTTTGAGCTAGTACAGTACATTCGGAACAGTACGGGTAATTCCCTTATTTTATGAAAAATAGTGAAATAACTTGCGCATTAAACCGGGCACAAAATATACGAATTATTTAATTCTCACAAAAAAAAGTTATCATATTATATAATTTGAAGGGGAGGAGTTGACTTCGATGACCGCCTGGTCGTATCACTCCACCCTGTCTATACCAAACAAATTTATTACCTATTATCATTTTTATTATTACGATGACTGATATTTTATATTTTGGGTGACGCAAAAATCTCTCTCTCTCTCTCTCATAACATACACGTAGTGCATTATTAGTCTATTTATATTACAAGAATTCTCCATTTTTAGTTATGTTCGACAATTTTTTTCTTTTTTTTCAATGCCAATTTTCCTTCATTCTCTCTGGTTGTGCCAAATTACTTTGAAAAATATTTGAACAAACTTTCTTTTACAAATTTTACATATATATAAATAAATTTATTCCTCTCGTTATACAGGACTTGAAACCATCCATCTACTGACATCTAGCGCTGATTATTGGAAACTAGACTTTGTCATGAAAGGGAATTCGGGATCGGAAAAGGGGGAAGTCAGATTTATGTAAGTTAAAGTATAACCATCTAGGATCAAACTATACATAAGACAAGAAAAGAATAAAATATTTACCCCGGGAGAGAGGAAAGTCGATAAGATGTCTTAATCATACGGCGTACCACGGCCTCTCGTTCGGTTACCAGTCTGCATCGTGTTCGGGATTAGTTAGCCAGTTATTTAGGATAGGATAGAATTTACGTATTTATGCCGGGGGAGGGGAAAGCCGATAATGCGGTTTAATCATATGGCAAACCAAGGCCTCTCGTTCGGTTACTTTTTTATGTCGGGTATGGGATTTGTTAGCCAGTTATTTGTTTCAGATGTATGGACTTGATGGTTGGAGGAAGCCGTAACCGACCAGAAGTTACGTGAACCCCCTACGGTGGTGAGGAGTCCATCAAACCTTTAGCGCATAATTATCCTACACAAGATCAGATGCTGCGAACGATAAGTTCACCACAAACACAAAAAGTAACGGATCCAAAACAGCTCACATAAATTTCGAAATACAATGGGTAGCCAGTTTTTGTTTCAAATGAATAGACTGTTTTACTTCAGTTTTAGGCATTAAATCAACTGATATACAATTTTTGACGCTCCAGAGGTATGTGCACCAAGATGGTGGATACCGGAACGTCGCATGTGTGCCAGGTTAGGGTTAGGCCATAATTTAATTTCAGCTTCCCTTGTTTTAGCTTTAATACGAGTTCGGGGACTAGTCATGTGACTCCCGTAGTATTTTACTTGAAATTATGGCCTGACCGTAACCTTGAGCACATACTACGTTTCGATGTCCACAATCTTGGATCGCTTACTACGACGTTTGCGCAAAAAAAATATTATTGCGAAGAATTAACAAATACGCCATTTTTGTTTCAGGAATTTCAAACTCGGGAATCGCTCTACAAATTATCGATTTGACTATACAGATTTTGGAAGTAAAAGTGGCAAAACCCTGGAAACACACTTTGAAGGAATGAAAAACATGATCTTCAAGGTACGGGACAAAGAGGGAGGTGGCTGCCCGGGCAAATCTGGATGGTGGTTCAACGATGATACGATTTGCAGTCTGAACGGGCCTTACAAGGGTAAATCTGGAGTGAAAACAGACAGAGGGGCCAGGCATTACAAGATAGTCGAAATGAGACTAATTCCTGAGAACGAAGGAACCTAACGGACATATTTTTCTATCCATACACCTTATAATTGTATATATGTAATACCATGTTTACAGGGTGGGCCGAAAGTGGGTTAACGGTTAATAAATGAATAGATTAAGAACAAGATAGCTATGATTAAATATATGGACACGTAGCGCACATATGCGTTTGCGGAACCGCCACATGGTGGCGAATGTTGATGACGTCACAACACACACACACAAAAAAACAACGACTACTGCTCTCAGGAATATTTGAAATAAACAAAAGTAATAGCTTTCTGGCGAAAAATATAATCTTCACTCACTGAAAATTTCAAAGCAATTGGTCCAGTAATCAAGGAGAAAAGCATTTTTTTTTCATACCAATAGGCAGAAGAATAACATGATGAAGGACAACAACAACATAAAAACACAAGAGAGCTATGCTCAAATGTATGAACACGTAGCGCCACATAATTTTGAATACGGCATAGCACAAAATAAAAGTAATAGCCCTCTAGCAAAAAATATAATCTTCACTCACTGAAAATTTCAAGCAATTGGTCCAGTAATCAAAGAGAAAAGCAATTTCTCCAAAAACGATACAAAGAACAAGAATAACATACTATGTGTCCATTACGTGTCCAATAAATGTCACCCTATTATTGGCCCACCCTGTATATGTAATAGTATGTTAGATTGAACCAACATGGCAGCAAATGTCCGATTTGATGACGTCATATCTGCTTTATACTTGTGAACTTTGCAGCTAAATAAACTCACCGTGCAAAGTGATTTTTTGGTAATCCCTTAATGTGTGTACCAGAATAGGGTTAGGCCATAATTTTATTTCGATTTTCCTTATTTTAGTTCTATTATGAGTTCGGGGACTGTCTGTATTAGCCAAGTGAATAATACTCCTGTCCATAGGTTTCAGTCCCTTTACACAACTTGATGTAAAGTAGGCAAACAAACTTAGTTACGCCCTTTTTGAAACCGCATGACACAGATGACGTTATAACGCTTGATATGAGCAATCATATTTGTAAAAGACGTCCACCATGCGGAAACGCCATTGAGTTTATGGGACTGAAAATGACGCAATGCAATGGCGTCACACCTACTTTACAGGGGAATACCAAAAATCTTGAACTTTGTAAAAAGACGTTTAGCAGTGATTTTCAATCTTTTAATACTTGTGGAAGCCCTGATACACCATTACTTTTATTTATTCCTAAAATTTCTATGGATCCTATACAATCTGATATTTTATCCAAATTTCGCTAGATATTTTTATTTTTCATAGAAACACAGTTTTAAATCCGTTTCAAAGCGTGAGGGCTGTTTCCGATTTGACGCGACACTACGCGAATTTGAAATTAATTGATACCGCTAGGTACGGTGGGAAGAGTAGGCTGTTTTGTTTTGTATTTGCCATATTTTTCATGATGTCTTTATACCGTGTTGATAAATTACCGTAATAATGATTGATTGACGAACTATCTTTCTTGTTACTATCCTTTTTGGACCTGCCATGACTACTTAAATTGTTGCGTACAGCAGCCATTGGAATAATTACCGTTATCCTTTCGTTTATTAATCAATCAACTGCGGTCACAATGGTTACCCCGGCCCGTGGTGTCCGGAGTCCCTTCCTTGATTAGAGTGACACTGGGATATCGGGTCGCTTAAATGTGTCTCAAAGCCTGGCTTTTGTTAGTATTTTATTTTTGACTTTTTTCTCAGTATAATTTAATGTTAGACTTTCACATACGTGACGTTGCTCGATAACCTTTACTGGTTTGTCGAACCTCTCTTTACACTGAAATGCATTTTTTTCCTTATTCTGTATGTACAATTTGTATTCTGGCATGTGTAAAGATAAACTACTGATACTATTTTGGATTTTGTGTCCATATATCTGAGCATCGCTCTCTTTCTGTTTTATATTTGCCATATTTTGCATTGTGTCTTTATATTGTGTTGACAAATTATTGATGATTGTTTAATGAACTATCTTTCTTGTTCACTATCCTTTTTGGCGTGCTCCCGTAGTGTGTGTACCAAGTTAGGGTTAGGTCATAATTTTATTCCGATTTTCCTTATTTTACTTCTATTACGAGTTCGGGACTGTCTGTGTTAGCCAAGTGAATATACCCCCTGCCCATAGGTTTCCGTCCTTTTACACGACTTGTTAATTTAGTTACCTCCATATTGGTACACACACTACTGGCTACTTAGATTGTTAGTGCGCGGAGTCGTTTTTTTGCTGTTGTTGAAACGTGCGACTGCTGAGCATACCAGATCCTTTTGCCTTTTTTATTGTTTTTCTCCAAATATTATATACAGAATTATTATTTATTATTATTTTCTGTAAGACTTTTTTAGGGGTGCCATGCTCGATAACGAAATTTGTTTTCTCGCGGCTCCCCTCAGCCTAAAATGCTTTTTCATTATTTATTGTAATTTGTATATCTAGTGTGTTTTCAAGATGGTAAAAAAAAATCACTGATTCTTGCTGTAAGTGACTTTAACCACGTATGCCTACTAGCCCGCATATTACATAAGGCAAGATACTACAACTGTTGCCGCCCACCTTCGGCAGGAATACTGCATACACATCCTACCCTTTGGGTAATTCAATCTGGCCCGCCTGATGCTGCCACAACCAAACTAAAACCGAATTTTAATGTTTAGGCTGAAAAATAGCTCAAGTAATTTGTTGAGATTGAGTTTAAATTTAGTTTTGGCACGAGGCATATTGTCGCCCAGCTTTGCTTTTGTAACACTGCAAATATCGTTCAAAAAATGTAACATTTTACGTCACACTTACATGGTCCGCCAGTCTGAGTGGACAAAACTTTTGGCCCCTCGTTCAAAAACCTTGCCTACCCTCTGTCATAGGGTGTGAAAGCTAGATAACCTCTTGAGGTTTTCTGTGATTCCCTTAACCTGTGAATAACAATGTTTTGCTTCTTCTTGTAAATCTTTCACATGGCATGTTAGCAAAGTTGCGCTCGCTCTTGAGTTATCAAAAATATTCGGGTTATAGTCAAATATGTTCACCATCATGACTATTGCCTCAGTCGATGTTTGTAGCGAAAGCAATTATTTTTTTTACACTAAACCAGTAACAACATTATAGGTGTCGCTGCTTGAAGACCTAACCAGGTCCCTCTCGACTCCAGTCGCACAATTAACGCTACTAGGTTATTTATTTTCTGTATCAATCTTTGTGAATTTGTTTTTTGTGACGACAAATAAATGATTGACCGACTGACATGTTGTTGAATAAATATTAATTATAACAGTATCTTAACATTTTGCCTTGACACAATAAATTGTAAATATATATGATTTATGTTATGTTTAGTGTTTACTTGCTCGACACTGAGGATGGGTGTTGTTGGGTAGGGGTTCCTAATTGCCGAGCTGCAAGTCTTTAATGGTTACATATCTCTAATAAGCGATGTTAGCTGGATAATTCGCTGAATTCATACGAAACTCGCCGAAACATGGGGTTTCAAGACTCTAGTCTAGATTGTGTGAAAAGCTCGAAAAAACTGCTATGTATGATATACAGATTTTATTACATTTTGAAAAGCCCTCGATTTCTGTGAATGCACCTCACTAAAACCAAATTTCCGAACGAGTTCATCTATTCAGACAGCTAACTACTCTGCCTAAGAGAAGTAATCAGTAATCAGTAATCAGTAGTTTATTTCTCACCATACTTAAAATAGGCACAAACATACAAATTGCAATAAATTAAATTATAAATTGGCCATATTTCAGGGTGAAGGAGACGCGAGAAACCAATACTGGTTATCGAGCAGCGGCACCTATAAAATAAGTCTAACACTATAATTTAAAAAACAAAAAAACGAACTAAGTTTAAATAAATTGAGGAAAAAAATACATAAAATATCTCGAGACGATCTGCTGTAACCAGCAATCGCTCGCTTCAACCAAAGTGACTATAATAGTCACTTAGGCTTCAACAAAAGAAAAGACAACTCCGAACACCACTGATTCGGTAGCCATGGAGATGGCGTTAGTGGATTGTATCACAACAATGCTATTGTGATGCCCATTAGCTAACAATGGGCAATAAATGTCAAATTCTGATGGCGCATGGTTATTGGTTACAGTGGAACCCATGGTTTGCTGAGAGCGACAACAGGATCAGCAACGAATAAACCATACCTTTATGCTAGAAAGGAATTGAGGTACCTGTTAATGGGATCTAGTGATTGGCAGCTGGAGTCAGGGCTTCACATAACGTTACAGGAAATATAAAATCAGGGAAGACATGAAATATCAAAATGTGAAAGATGTTCCATAACAGTCATTCAAAACGAATGTAACCTAGTATCAACATTCACAGTGGGAAACTAGATAGACTACAAGACATGAAACAGCAAAACTAAGAAGAGTCAAGTACCGTAGACTAATAGTTGAGTGAACCAATGAAGCAAAGTTTAAAAGTACATAAAAAAAATATTATTTATCAGGTAATACTTTTACAATGTTATATAAGAGTATAATGACAATCAGATAAACAATTTAGGCTTTACTGACTGCAAGAGAAAACAAGTCACAATGTTATGCTAATTAACCAAGATCTTGAGCAGATGGGCTTAGAATTTCAATGTGGTTAAATTCGTACAAAGCTTCATGAACCATCTCAAACATAAGAAAAGTAGTTTACTATATTGTGCAGGTTACGAACAAATACAGGTCATGCAATTAGCATGGCACACTTTACATAATTCAAATCACTGGCAAGAATGCAATAAGATAAGGACATGAAAAAATTGAAAAAAAAAAAAAGTATTATTATTACAGGTATAGGCCTAGCGGAGCAAGCGGGAAAGAGTGCCGAGGCCACATCATTTGGATGCAATCACAGCAGACTGGTAAGGTGACAGCAAGAATTTTTTATATTTTGTTTTGAAAGTTTCATAAGAAGAGTCACGTAAGATTTGGGGAATACTATTCCAAATTACAACACCCTTATACTTCAAGGAGTTTTGGGACTTGCTTAGCGAAAATCTGGGAACAAAAAAATTCGATTTTGTCGAAGAGCGTGTGTTATGCTCATGCACATTACTGAGAACAGTGAAATAATCAGCGAAAGCTGCAGGCAATTGGTTGTTGTGGAACTGGTGCATAATCTTAGAAATTTCTAATTTATAGATGTCAGACAATTTTAGCACCCTGGCTTTATGAAATAGGGTGTTTATGTTTGAACGAACTGGTGCTCCGGAGAGAATTTTAACAGCCCTATTTTGTAAAATCTCTAATTTACGCAAGCTAGTTTGAGTAGCGGAGCCCCATGCAGCTAAGGCGTATTGGATATGTGATTGAAAAAGAGCAAAGTAAATAGTCCGCAGAGTTGGGCTCGGCACATAATACTTGAGTTTTCCCAGAATCCCTACTGATCTGGAGAGTTTCTTGTACATTTCAGTGATGTGGCTGTTCCATTTGAGTTGATGGTCAATATGAAGCCCAAGATATCTATAAGACTGGA